AAACTTGAATTGTTTTTAAATGTTTATAATCTCTAACAGCAATCTTGGAGGTGAAATAGACCCAAAACCACATTCATACATCAGTTATAATACTCTAATGTTGATTTCATAGTATAGTTTTTTTTTTTTCTCAAAATTCTAGAGGGAAAAGAAACTCAACCATAAATGATTACACATATCAAGTAAAAAAAAAAGCTTCATTGTTTCCAACATTGTTAAGAAACAAAATAAATAAAAGAGAGAAAGTGTACTATCCTGTTTATGGCTGGATGAAGCCCAATTCTTTTTTTTTTTTTAATACTGTTTGCCATCTCATGAAAGCTTACAAAGTAGCCTAATTCTATAAAACCAATTTGTTGTTCAACAACTTACTTATCTCGACTCCTAATCAAAGTGCTTGCAAGCCATCCTGAGTTGAGTGTTTCTTTAAGATATGTTGGAGAAACTGTACTGAAGATGAAAAAAGAAATAGTTGATAAAAAATAAGTACTCAGCAAAATGAAAAAAATGGGCAAAATAGAATTTGAAGCAGTATTTCTGTTTGCTTTTCCAGCTGTATTATTTAAATTTGCATGCGCACACATGTAAATGAGAGTATATATAGCATACACACAGAATACTCTTTATGACATCTACTACTTGCTTAACATTATCTTGATGTGTTTAGAGAAAAAGAAAAGGAAAAAGAAGACTCTTGATGAGTGCTCCTAAGGTATAAATTATCATTTAAACTATCAATCAATTGTACTACCTCCCAAATTTTATAGAACTAATCCGAGAAAGGATGGGACACAAATACCAGACTATTGGTTAAGATTTAAGATGAACCAAGGATTCTAAACCATGAGCATCAAACTTTAACAATGTTTTCATCCAGTCAACATCAATATCTTATATACATTCAGTTGAATCCTGGTTGAGAGGTTAACCCAATTAAGCCTATATCAGAAACTAGTCTGAGGTCTAATGTATAAAATTAAAAATTCAATTCCTCAGTTCCATTCTATTTGAGGCTATGCCCTTTGCAAAACGATTAAGTCATTAGTTTGTTGTTTTCAAATCACACTTTCTCACAGTTGCATCTTAAAGTTATATTTCACATGAATCAACCACATAACTCTGCTGTTTTAATGTATTCTCAACTGGTATCTCCACCACCCTTTTAGATGAATGACTTCATTAAATATAGTTTAGTAAAACTAACAAAACAAAAACACTCCTTTTTAACATATCAAAGATTCAAAATCACAAATAATTTTCAAAATTGGTTCCAAAAATGTGTGCAAATTCAAGCGAAATAAAAAAATTATGAACATCTCAAAATTTCAAAGGGAAAAGTACGGAGGTCACTTACACCACTGCATTGCTGTACACAATTCCACCTTTCAACAAACTCAACCTCTCAGGGTTGTGGCCAATAGTTCGATCATCAACTGCCTGCCTTTTTAAGAGATTTCAAAAGCTAGAATTTTTATTTATTTAAAGCAGACTTGCTTGGAACCATTAACATATTTTAGAGAACTAGTGTCCCTCTACATGTAGAAAAACACTTGAGAAAAGAAAAGCCACCTAAACACAGAGAAACGATAAAATGCAATCATGATACTATTTTTCACCAAAAGAGTCCAACAATGTGGGGAGAAAAAAAATCTGCTTGAGGGGGTCATGATCAACAGAAGTTCATAAAATTATCTAATAAAAATACCACTCCTTAAGCTTACCTTGTCAGTTGTTGCATATATAGACCCATCAAGACCACACTTACTGAGCTGCTCTTGTCTGCCAATATAAACAGAAGTCAATCTAAAAGATATCTTTTATTCTGTTTCTTTGACACGGAATCTTTTGCTACATGGCTTGACTTCTACATGTCATTATGACCTGAATCCTAAAAATACATCATTGCTATAATATAATGGAGAGATAGTATGAGTAATCCTCTCCAAAACTTCCTACTTTACTGCAAATAAATCAGACTTAATGAGAAAAAAATTAAATCATTGCTATAATTATGTACTTACACAAAGAATTACACAAAGAATTGCTATAAATATTTACATCATTACTATAAATATGTACTTGCACAAAGAATTAATGAGAAAAAATTAAATCAGTAAGTCACCTGCATTCTCCATAATGCTCCATGTTGTGGATTGTCGATACTATTCTTGGTTTCTGTAAAACAAAGCTCAAATTTACCATAAAATCAAAATTCAGCATTACAATAACATTTTTTTACTCGTAAGTTGTAACAAAAATGAAGGAGAAAACACAAAAATAAGGCAGAGAGCAAATACCTTGAGTGATAAGTGCGTATACATGTCCCAGTAGAGAAGGGGTAAAGCACCCGTCTGCCACTCATGGACATGAATTATATCAGGTTGTGTTCCAGTCACCTGCTATGGCCTAATTTCTTGTTAGAAACCAAGCGCCTTGGTCACATGCTTAAAAACAAATAGAAGGAAAATATCTTTTACTCATATATCAATCTACTAACCTGCATCCATTCAAGGCATGCTCGGCTGAAAAACAAATATGCCTCCAGCTCATTGTATGAACCCCCATATACTTGCCGACCCTTAAAGAAATGATTGGATGGTTCTATAAATATCACAGGGATGTCTGAAACAATCCCACGATATGCATTAGTTGGTATCCAGTTCCCATCATGATAAGAATTATAGTTTGTGAGCAAAACCAAGTCTGTAATCTGCTGCTTCTGAATGCATTCATAGAAAGGTAGCATTATTTCAACAGAATGGCCACGTGATAAGCATGCACGGGCAAGTCCGGTAACAACATCACCAAGACCACCAACTTTTGCTATTGGCGCCATCTCGGCTGTAACATGAATTATGTGCATGAGATCAGAATCCTTCTTTATGTCAACTGGGACTGCTGGTCCTGTATCCCAAGAAGGAAAATTCTTCTTCCAGAATGGAATTTCATCATTAGGAGAAGGCCAAACAATTTTCTCAAGACCAACATCAGTTGAACTTCCTTGTTTACCAAAACCCACCTGCAATCAATTATGGCGGTTTCAGAATTAAGATCAGTGCCCTGTATGTTGCATTTAACTTTGAATTTCTGACTTATTTAAGGAACATAAAAAGAGAGATACACCTTTAAAGACAGGTGAGTCTGATCAGGAAGTACCTGAACCTTGAATCTTGTTGAAGGGTACAGCCTCTGAGTTCTCATTTCTTTCCTTCTATATAGCAACACTTTGCTTGAATTTACCAAACATGGATGTGAAATTTTACCCGTAAATGCACACTCCATGATTACTGAAATCACTACCCCAAATTGCTAATAATTAGAAACAGAATTTGGGTTCCCAAAATGTTAACTGCCCGTGAATTTGCAACAAGGGCTAGACATTCATAAAAGCCAGAACACAGCCTAAGTTGTTGAAAAGATGAAAAAAAGAAAAAGGAAAAAAGAAAATAAAAGAGTAGAGAGACGGAAGTATACCTTGATTACATGAAGGAAACGGAAACAAAAGGGAATTTACAGACAGCTTCTTATGTTGCAGGTAGGATAGACAGGGAGATGACGAGAAGCAACTTGCTGTAATAGACAAAATATCGTGTCTGATCCTGATGGGACGTCCGGTTCTAGAATTCTGTAGCTTCGGCTTTTGTAGGCAAGAAAGGATTAAATAGTCACGTTCTCACCGAACGGATAAACCTTGCAATTTCTTTATTTTTTAAAATATTATGCAATCGACAGTGACACACTCTCGTGTAGACACGGGACACCCCCGAGGCAGAAAAATGTATCCTTCAACCAAGGTTGTTGGTACTTGGTACTACTTTGTTCTGACACTCATGATAAAACTACCATTAACGAACTGGGTTTACGTATAGGCAAAAGGTGCAAAAGAACCCCTAAACCGGCAATGTGGTGGCTTTTAAGCCCTCGAACTCAGTATGGTGGCAAAACACCCCTTGTACTCAGAGAGATCAGTGAAATATCAGCCCCTGGAGTAACTAGAGCCGTTAAGAGGCGTTAGAAAAAATTGAAAAATTACAGGATCAGTCCTCCAGTAAAACATAAGATAATAGTTAAACCCCAAGAAAATCTTAATGGGAGATATTATCACAAATACAAGAACAATATTAAATATTTGTCATCAAATTGAGCAAGTGGCTCAATCTGAAGAAGAGTTCTAACAGAAATGAAAGAAAATTACTTAGTCAAGTTAAGACAAGAAAACGGAAGAGTAAACTTTATAGTAACACTATATAACAGACAGATTAGATTTAGAGAATAGAGAATTAATAAATTAAGAGAAATAGTTGATTTATTGAAATCAATATGAATAATGAACAAATAAATGAGATTAATATGTATTTACTCAATACGATGGGTAAAAACATAATCTGAAGAGAAGATATAATTATCATTGATAAGATTATAGAAATAAAAACTATCAACAAAAATACTTTAAAAAGAATTAAAGGAATGGGAAAATTCCTCTCACAAGAGTTTGAGTCTATAAAAGACAAAATAAATGGAATTAAAAATTTCAAAGATTTGAAGGAAATAAAAGAAGAAATAAGGTGTATCAAAAACTCAAAAACCAAGATATCTTGAATTAAAAATCTAAGAAATCAAAATAGAAGAAATTTTTAAGATATTAAAAGTGGTCACTGAAAAATTTGCTATAAAAACTTAAAAAATGTATAATAAAATAATTCCACAATTGAAAGGTGACATAGATAAGAATTTTTATAAAATTTGAACTCAACTTAAAGACATACAAGATACTATAATATCAGTTTGCAGTAGACAAACTATTATAGAAAGAAATGAAGGATTTAAGACTATCCCAAAAATTTTTACAAAAAAATCTAAATCAAAGTGAATAACACTTTTTATGCTTAAAACTCAAGAAGAAAAGCCAAAAGAATTGGAACAAAGATTCTTAGAGAAAGAAAGAGGCGGAAGAACTAGACAATCTATGTAGACAAATTACTATAACTATCAATCAACTAGAGAATATGAAAATGAATACTCGCAAAGAAGGAAAGGAAGAAATAGAAGAACAAAGTGAAGAGGAAAAGGATGAAAGGCAACCTAACATAACACTAACAGAATTCCCGATATAACAAGGGGTAGAATCTAGCACTAATTAAAGTTACAAAAGAAATAGAAATCAAATACATGAAATATTATATGATAAGAAGAAGTTTGGAAAGCAAATTATCAGTACAAATGGCATTTGGCTAGATCTAGACTGTGTTATTGACCTCGAAAAGGTCATTAGCAATTGGGCTCAAGCCACTTGGATAGCCATAGCAAATAAGAACTAGAATGCCTTACAAGCAGTTAGATTTATAGGAGTTACCTTTAAAGGAATAATTCATGACTGGTTTGCTGGTTTAAATGAAGAAGAAAGTAATACCATTAGAAGTGGAAATCCTGCTTCTGAAGGAAGTAAATGAAAACGAAGCAATCCAAGACATAATAACCAGATTTGAATCAACTATAAGGAAATAGTTTTTATGAGAAAATAGGGAAGAAAATCAAGAAAAAGAAGAAGCCAGAATTGGAAGAATAGCAGTATGGAATTTGCAGAATTTAGAATTATGTAGTCTTTGTGAGTTAGACCAATACGTTTGTTTATTCCAAAAATACTACTATAAAGCCTCAAATCATGGAATGGCTAAAGGCCTAAGATAATTATTTTTTGGAAAAATCCCTAATCCTTGGGGAATTAAGCTAGCCGAAGCCTATAGAACTTATGTAGAAGATAAAACTAATACCTTAGGCCTAAGGATTTGGTTTGCTAAAACTAAAATAAATGAATGATGTATGGAAACATATAGTTATAACAAATCAATACAAAGTATGAAAAGAGGATTATGTTGTCCTAAAAATACTGGTCCAATCAAGTTAGGATGTAGTTCTTTAAACTACAGGAAGAAAAATAAGAGGTTTAAAATTAGAAGAAGTAATAAACAGAAGTTCAATAAGAATAAATTTTTTGAAAAAAGGAAAATATATTTTAAGAAAACAAAAGCACCAAGAAAATATAAAAAGAATCTTAAGAAATGTACATGATGGTTATGTAAAGAAAAAGGACACTATGCAAATGAATGTCTTAAAAGATACAATAGAGAAAGCACTAAAATTCTAATAATCTATGAAGAAGAGTTAAGTGAAATAGAGACTAGCTCTATAAATAGTGATGAAACTATGTCATAACTCGATTTTTCATTTAGTTTATTTAGACTTTTCATAAATATATATATATATATATATCATTCAAAAATTAATCAAGGAAATCATAAAAAATTATAAAATGTGAAATATAGGACAAAAACATAAAAATATGAATTTTTCTCTTTTCTTTAACTAACATATATTCTATGTTGTTACAGATGCTACATGCAAAAAGAGGATTTTGTGAAGAAATTTGAAAAAAGAACAAGAAAAGGACTCAATCGAAGGAATTGAAAAGCTGAGGATGAAATCTACCAAGATAAAGCCACAAATCCAGTCCAAACCAAAGAAGTCAATCTCGTACCGTACCGGTCGGTATGGTCGGAACGTACCGGTTTTGACACTTGACCGAAACGGTACAACATCAAATTTCGTTTTGGTCAAAATCCGACCGTTCCAGTCAAAATTCGGTGTACCGACCGAAATTTTGTGTACCGACCGACACACCGAAATATGACCGGTACACCTAAGTTCAAACTAAAGAAAAAAAAACAATGGATTTTCGATTGCAGATCTGTTTCTGTTCTCCTTCTTCATCAGGAACGACGAACGCCACACGCCGCACGTCGCGAACGTCTTCCTCAACCTGTCGCCGGTGGGTTGGAGATTCAGTGAATGCTTCGCTTCCGTGATTACCGGCTAGATCTGCTTCATCTTCTCCCCATTTTTGGTAGCTGCCGAACCTTTCTGCTTTGGTGATTACCGGTGATGAAGGTGGAGGCTGTGATGATGATGAGATGCTCAGCAAGGGGATGGTGAAGATCCGAGGTGAAAGAACAGAGGTGATGGTGGCGATGGTGGATCTGCAGAATGGAGAAAAATCAAGTTTTTTTTTTTCTGTTTTCTCTTCTTCTTTTTTTTTGGATTGGCAGCCGCACCTCCTCCTTCTCCCTTTAAAAGGAGGAAACTAGGGTTTTCTTAAATTTGGGTTTTGATGGGCTGTTTAATATTGG